TCTCTCTCTCTCTCTCTCTCTCTCACTCAGTCACACACACACACACACACACACACACTCTCACACACACTCTTCTTAGTTTATTTGAAGCAGTTATACATAGGACTGTATGGGCAGCTTATACTGCGTTAGTGAAAATGGCAGTGTAGATATAGGGGACAGATTGAGAGACATTAACATAAAGTTTCTTAAGATCTTTAACCCTTTGTTAGGACAGACAGTCCTGCACACCTAGTTAAAACTGATAAAATCTGGCAGGACAGTACAGACAGGGTTAATTATGGCAAACACCACTCCCCTTTTTCCATCCCAAACTTTGCATAAAATGTGAGAACTAAGTGCGTGATTTTTTTTCCAGACCTGGAGCCGCAAGTTTAATTTTTTTTTTTTATTTTTAAGTTCTGCTATGTGAACGTGAACATGTGACAAACATTAAGTAAGTGTTATCCCAATTTGGCTAGAGAAGTGTCTGGGCATAAAAAAATAAATCAAAACATATTGAAAAGAGTCTGAAGGAGGCAGAAGGAGATCAATAGCACTGCGATGCAAAAAAATATGAGAATATGTGGAAACAGTATCTTATGGAAAAAAAAAAAAAGCTGTGGCAGTTTTTTTCTATGATGCGTAGTACTTTATCCAAATACATGTCGTCGGGTTAGAGTTTCCATTTACTTTGATTGTTGAACAGGAAAATGAGTTTACAGAACAGCAAAGTTTGATGTGATATAGGAGGGAGTTGTAAGGTTAGCATAATATTGTGGCCATGCGTCGCATACCTTAAATAACTTCATTGGTTTACCTTTGTGATTTTAGAGAAGGGATATGTTTATTTACTGTATCCACCCAGTGTGGGCACAGAAGAAGTGATTAATTATTTGGACATTTCTTCATGCAATAAACAATAAGAATCCAGGTTTACATTAAACCAGGGCTTGACAAATTTTCTTTTGAATCTAGGAGCCAGCTTAAAAAGTAAGGAGCCAGATTTTTTTTTTGCTTGGATGTTTCACGTTCATGGGGGGTGATGGACTTTTTAATTTTGTTAAACATCATTTTGTTAAACTTCTTTTTTTTTTACTTGTTGGAAGTTCTCTTTAAGTTGACATTAGGGGTCTATTAGACCCCCCTGTGTCACCTTTCCACTTCAATAGCTTTAGCTGGGGAATGACAGCTGCAAGTAAACATAGCTGGCAGTGGCTAGGACCAATAGCATTCCTTCTATTGACCATTTTAAATTGCAATAGCCAGTAGAAGGCTGGTTATTGCACCTGCCTGCTGTCAATCAGCAGAGGATGGAACTGAAGGAGAAAGTTCTCCTTTTAGGTCCTCCGCTGCTGATTGACAGCAGGCAGTGGATGGGTGCAATAGCCAGCCTGCTACTGGCTACTGCAATTTAAAATAGCCAACAGCAGACTTGCTATTGCTCCTAGCCGCTGAATGGGAGACTTAACATCGGCTTTCTACAGCCAGTAGTAGTTAGAAAGAGAGGGCAGGGGGAAGCAGCAAAGGCACAAGGGGAGCTGCAGAGGAACGGGGGCAGAAGCAGAGGCACGGGGGTAATGCAGAGAAACAGCGGGCCCTCCTCGTTGCTGGCTGCAGCGGTCGGTGTCCGATCCCCACTGCCTCTGCTGATACAGGTGGGGAGAGCAGCGGGGATTAAAGTGGACACAGACTGCAGCATGCAGTGGCTCCAAGCAGGGAGAACAGGAAGCAGAGGTGGGGGCGGGGGACAGTGAAAGGGCTGACAAAAGCTCATGCGCCAGGATGCAATTTCTAGTCACCATGGCGACCTGGCACCTGAGATTTGTCGAGCCCTGCATTAAACTAAATTAACACACACACGCGCATACATAGGTTGGACTGGATGGACCTTGGTCTTTTTTCAACCTTACATGTTACTATGTAAACTGTCAGTTCTTTCTCAACTGATATTTTATTTTTGACAGATGCTGGAGAGTTAAGACACCAGGTGAGATGAATGCTTGTGTTCCCAGGTCAGGAACTAAGGCACAGCGATTCTCCTCCAGAGTTCCTGACCTAGGCAATGAGGCCCTGCCAGACAGGAATAAGAAATATCACTTTGGTGGAGCTGGTTATTCAAGGGTTCTACTATGTTATGTATTGAAGAGACAACCTCGTCCATTTTAACTTGTGCAGAGGCCAGAAAAACCTGACATGAGTTAAACATTCTAAGATCTGTTTATTTTATATGTAGTCCTAACAGCCAAACCTTCTATATCTTTTCCTTAGTTATGTTTTTGTATAAACAATAGACATTTAATACACTTAAGAATATATTGGTGTGCTGAAAATGATGAACTTTGGAATTGTTGGGATTACATAAAATAATGCGTATTTTATTTATTTTTTTACCATCTATCATTCTTTGAATTCCTGTTTTTGTTTAGGGAATACAGCACGTTGACCACTTTGGCTTCATCTGCAGGGAGCTTTTAAAAAATGGAGGTTGTCAGTTCGTATGTTATGTGTTTCGATGCACAAATGAAGCTTTGGTACGTATTTAACTAAAAGCATAATACATTATGTAAATGTAATCCTAAATCTGGCATGATGTAATGAACAGGACTAACACTATATCTCTTGTGTATATATATCTATCTATAGATGTATATATAGATAATTAGTTTCACTTTCAGGCTGCTTATTACACAGAGAGATTGGCTTTTATCACCATCTTAAGTAGTGACAGGGAGACTGTGTTCTCTAGGGCTATGCAAAGATCCATTTGACAAAGTAGTTTGCCTTAAAGGAGAACTATGAGGTGAGTGAAAATCACTCATCCTCCTAGTTCGAGCCGACGTGTGACAATGAAACTGTCACACGTCGGCTCAATAGATCGGGAAGTGAACAAACACTTCCCGATCTTCTCACTTCTCAAACATGTCACTGCAGAGAACCGTGACTGTCGGTCACCGCTCCCTGCAGGGATCCTCCCCACTCCAATCCTCCAGCGCTGACTGGAGGAGCGCGCAGGGGAGGGGGTGGGTACAGTTGGCTCTGCCTCTAGATAGGCAGAACCGGCTGTCACGCAGCTGGGTGAATCTCAACAGTAATGTCGGGATCCGTCCCGGCTGCGGCGGTCTCGGTATACCACGAGCTGTAGCTAGTTTATGTCCTCCCGTGACCCTTAAGAAAACTATGGGGAAAAACACTTACCCCATAGTTCTCTTTTTAAAATGTATCATAGATGTTCGTAGCATTGCAGGTTGACATAATACATTTGCTTACCCCAGAAATAGGCAGCATACAGTACCATCCAGATCTTGTTTAAACCCCACAAAAATCCCAATGCTGTCATGTTCTACCTGCCCAGAGAAGCTAAAAGTTCATGTAGTGCATAGTGAACTATACTGTATAACACATATAAATACCTGTATACATTTCTGTGCCTTTTGTGCATTCACTGTGCACATTGGGGATTCTTTGGGATGCATTCCTCTGCCATCATTTGAGTTGCATCAGCCTGATCCTTTCACCTGCAGCTCTAAGAACATTAATGTTTGGCATACCTTAGCCACTAAGCTTGGGCATATTGGCTGCTATGCAGGTTCCCTCTCTTGCCTGCTGCTTGTTTGGACAGTGTGGCCCGGGAGAGAAGAATGCAATGGGATACACTTCCCTGGACCCACATGAGTAATGTTGTCACTGCAGAGAACCGTGACTGTCGGTCACCGCTCCCTGCAGGGATCCTCCCCACTCCAATCCTCCAGCGCTGACTGGAGGAGCGCGCAGGGGAGGGGGGGGAGAGACAAATTAATGGAGCCTGTATGTACGGACTTATGTACTACCTGTTTTCAACTATTAACTGTCCCTTCTGTATTGCTTGTCATCTCCCCCCACCCCAATGTTCTGTGAGAAACTTGTTTCTTTCCCCTACCCAAAGGGCACCTTAGGTCTTTGATTAGCCTAGTCCTGCCCACATTTGTAGCCGTAAACGCAGGCAGTGGGCCTGTGTGCAAGATGATAATTTTGCACACAGGCTCACTGCATTCAGGAAATTCCCCTGCTCTCTGCCAACTGTTGCTATCATTAGATCTAGAAAGATCAATTGGGAAGTGAGGCGTGGGTTTATGGTGGGCTCTCTCCTCAACCATTAACCTCACACACACCCTCTACCAATCTTCTACATGATAACTTCTCTCCAGCGGAAAGTGAAACTATTAGCTTCCTAAGACCCTTGAATTTAGTTGAGATTGTGCTTACATTTGACGATCGCCATATCACTGCAGAACACAGTGGTGTTGTGATGCAGGGTTCAGCAGGAGGAACAAGTGAGCACAGCAGGGGACACAGAGGATTGATACTCATGAAAGTGTTTGTTGCTGCACAGATTGCAGCTGGCGATTCTTCTTGATCAGCGTAGTGTTTGGCAGTGTAATTAGCAGGCCAGGTAAATATTTACGTTCTTTTCTTTTATTATTTTCCTTCTTATCCATTGAGGGACACAGGCAGCCTTTAACCTATGGGCTACACTGCTGCCTACACGAGGATTGACAAACAAACTCTAGAACAGCCTGTGATAACCCCTCCTACCAGCTTATTACCATTTTGGACTGAAGATAAGTGCCATTTCTTCAGTGTTGCTGTATTTAATCAATTTTTTGCTATTTTATAATTGTGATTTGTTTTTTCACTTAAGGCTGTTTTCTACATTTCTGTTTAGAGCTTGTGTCTACAGTATATCCAGCACAGTTATCCTTAGCTGGTGTTTGAAGCACTGTGTCCAGACCCCTCTGGACTGGACATTGTGGAGATGGCCTTGAAGTGCCTCTTCTTCATAGGGCGCTTTTCAGACCTCGTTCTGGTAAAAGTTAGCTGGGCAGTGCTTTCTAGGCCCAAAGTCTTTTGCTTTGCTTTAGCAATTGCCCTGTCTCAGAAAATTCATTTATTGAATAGACTTGTGGCCCAGGGAGCTACTTCTCTTCTGTCACAACAATCTGTTCTTGTGGTAGAAGTCCATCAGGTCCTAAACAGACTTATTTGTTTGGCACCAAGGACCAGGTTGTCCCTGGCTTGATGGCTCTGGAATTGGGCAAGTCCTTCTTACAGTCTTTTGGAGGATCCCCTTGATACATACCTGCCTGTTAGGCTGGGGACTTTGACATCAAAAGAGTCTTGTCTCCTGATCAACATCCTGGAGTTTCAGGCACTTTGGCTGTCTCTGCAAGTGTGGGACAATCCAGCTGAAGGGTCATCTGATCTTGATTAGTGCGGACACCACCACTGCAGTAGCATACATCAGCCATCAGGGAGGAGCCAGAAGTTTTTTTGCAGCATAACAGGTAGATCACATCTGGTCATGTGCGCAACTTCAGGTTCCAGTCCTGTCCATCATATACATCCCAGGTGTAGAAAATTGGCAAGCATACTTCCTCAGCCAAAAGCAGACCTGGGGGAGTGGCCCCTACACTTGGAGGGTTCCCACAACAGATGTGAACCTGTTCGACTCTTTAAGTTTAAACAGGACAGATGTTTCTTCAAGTACAAGTGTCCTCTAGCGGAAACGGTAGATACTCTGGTGGCTCCTTGGGATCAATACATTGTGATTTTTTTATTCCTTTCCAGAGCTGAATTTTTTTTTCCTGCATGGAACCCTTTCTGGTCTTACATCGAGACCAGCCGGTGTAGAGGTCCAAGACTTCCTTCTTGCCTGAGGTGGTTTCTACCTCTCACCTCAACCAGGACGTAGTTCTCCCATCCCTCAGTCCGGCTTAAGTTTACCCAAAAGAAATTTCCCTCCATTGTCTGGATGTGGTTTAGGTTGTGAAGATCTATCTCTTGGCTACTGCTTCTTGGAGAAACCCTGGAAATCTTCTCTGGCTTCTCGTTCCATTTTCTTTAAGTTCGCTCAGGCAGATCATCATCCAAGCTTATGGTCCCAGGGATTAGATTCTGTGATTAGAGTGACATACTGTCAATGCACACTCTATTAGATCTGTGGGCATCTTGGGCCTTTCGACATCAAGCATGTTTCCCAGATTTGCAAGGCTGCCAGCTTGTTTTTCTGTTCACACGTTCTTGAAGTTTTACCAGATGGATATCTTGGTATTTTCTGATGCCAGTTTCAGGTGTAAGGTCCTTCAGGCAGCTCTTTGTCGCAAGAAGTCCCCAGTTTTTTGTTTCCTTGTGCATGTTGGAGTTTGTGTCCTTTGTTGCCCATCGCGCAGATGGACTGCTTTTGGATGTCTTGAAGGTAAAAGACGACTTCTATCCCTCAATGGATGGGAAAGAAAAAATATTTTTTGTGCTTGACATAATATAATTTTCTTGTACGCAATTGAGGAACACGGGTCCCACCTTCTATGCGTGCCTGCAGTTTTTGTTTTTGCCCATTCGCAGTCCTTCTGTAGATTGCCATATAACCTGAAGGTTAAAGACAACTGGTGTCCCTCAGTGGACTCCAGGAAATGTATTTTACGGTTTGTACAAAAATCCTATTATTGCTGTCACATTTTGCTGACCTATTTGGTGATAACTAAATAATTGTCTTGTTTCTGCAGGTAGATGAGATTATGTTGACCCTGAAGCAAGCATTCAGTGTAGCTGCTGTGCAGCAAAACTCGAAGAGTCCAACACCACTGTGTGATGGATGCCCCATGCAGTGCATGCACAAACTTTGTGAAAAGATAGAGGGTAAGAGATTGGTGCTTCCTGGATGGTGCACACTATGTAGCACTCAATTATAGTATTCTGCTCCTTGATCCTGATTTATTAACTATTGTATTGGTATACACTAGGATTTAGCCAATGGTCTTAATGTTTCCTTTTTTTATTTTAACCTGGCTACAATTTCTAGTTGCAAGTATAGTTAAAAAAGTTGCCCATAAAAGTAGAGTTCAGTTTCTGTTACACAAAGAGAGAATGATGACATACACCTGTTTATTTCAAGCAACACCACTGTTTTGCTTTCCTGCAGGTATTGCCTAGGTATGGAAAGTTTCAGTCAGGGCTCCAGCTAGGGATCTGTGCATGGATCCACTGGTGATCGGAACTGAAGGCGTCTGTGTGAAAGGAGCCCTATAGGTTATTTTTATTAAATTGATACAAGCTTTGCAAAACAAGACTTGATAAATAAAATGACAATGTTGACAATTGTTCATTGCCTGGAACACAACCATCACATTTTATGGCATTATTTGAAAAATAAATAAAAAATGGTATACTGGTATTGGAGGTTTTACAAAAACATCAATATTTTGGACTATAAAATGAAGATGTTAGGCATTTGTGGACCATTGTAAGGTGTGCAGTGCTTGAAACTGTATGGCATCACTTTTTACACAACTAAACTTGTCCAGGCTGTTTGTCATAAGTAACATTTGTATTTGATTTCTATTTCTTAGGTCTTCCACCATCCAAAGCAAAACTTGAATTACAAAAGCACATTACAACGTTAGATAACCAGGAGCAGGCCTCTGTGTTTGAAGAAATACAGGTAAGCCTCTAAGTGGAAGTTAATGTGACTCTGTGACATCTTTTACAAAGAATGAAAAAAGTGCACCAAATATCAATAGAAGCATTATGATAGAACAGACTGATACAGACTGATAAAGGAGCTGTTGAGGCATGTGTTTTTGTATAAATCCTTATCTGGCCATATAGAATATTGTTTGTATTTCCTAACTACACAATGTCATACATTTGTATTTCTTGTGATTATTTGTCCATTTTTTCCTTTGATCCTTCATAATATATTTGCATTCATTACAGTCTGTTTTACAGGAAAAAAATGGTCTTCTAATCGTACCATTTTGGAGCAGATCTCTGTAAAGTGGACTGCAACTAGATTTTTCTTGTAATTGGTAGTGGAATTTCTGCAGAATGTCCTTGTTTCACCAGACACCTCTATTTACAGCTACTGAAAATACATTTAGAAAATGCAGGGTATGTTCCTAACAAGTTAAACGTTAACCCTTTTCCCGCCAGCAATGTAAGGCATTCAACGTAGCAAAAATGTTTCCAGCTGACAACATCAGTATGCCTTACGTCTACTGTAAGCTCATGGTTGCTCTATATACCAGTCATAACAGTGAAGTGCATAACACTGATTATTTAATTACATTGGCACCTGGAAGTTGGTGGGATATTTTAGGCAGCAAGTAACCATTTTGTCCCTGTTGATGTGTTGCAAACAGAAAAAATGGGCAAACGTAAAGATTTAAGCGACTTTGACAAGGGCCAGATTGTGATGGGTAGATGATGACTGGGTCAGAGCAACTCCAAAACTGCAGCTCTTGTAGGATGTGCCCTGTCTGCAGTGGTCAGGACCTACCAAAAGTGGTCCAAGGAAGGAAAACCTGTCAAACACCAATAGAATCATGGATGGCCAAGGCTTATTGATGCATATGGTGAGCGAAGGCTGGCCCATGTAGTCCAATCCAATAGAAGAGCCACTGTCCATTTTGACCCGTGTCCACTGCTAAAAGTGCCTACAATGGACACATGAGCATCACAACTGGGCCACAGAGCAATAGAAGAAGGTGGCAGAGTCGGATGAATCTACTTTTTTTTAAACTTCATGTGGATTGCATGCATGTGTGTTGCTTACCTGGGGAAGAGATGGCACCAGGATCCATTATGGAACACTATGGAAGGCAAGCCAGCGGAGGTACAATGACGCTGTGGGCAATGTTCTGCTGGGAAACCTTTGGTCCTGCCATTCATGTGGATGTTACTTTGACATATGCTGCCTACTTAAACATTGATGCTGACCAAATATACCCTTTCATCACAAATGTATTCCCTGATGGCAGTGGCCTCTTTCTGCAGGATAATACTCCCTGCCTTACTGCAAAAATGATTCAAAAATGGTTTGAGGAACACTAACAAGTTTGAGGTGTAGACTTGGGCCTCCAAATTCTCCAAATCTCAATTAAATCTAGCAATCCATGGAGCCCCCACCTTGCAACTTACAGGACTTAAAGGATCTGCTACTGACAACTTGATGCCAGATACTACAGCATACCTTCAGAGGTCTAGTGGAGTCAATGCATCGATGGGTCTGGGCTGCTTGGCAGCAAAAGGGGGACCTTCTCAATATTAGGCTGGTGGGCATAATGTCTGTGAAGGTTCTCATTCATCCAGGTCATGGTATATCTGTAAAATATTAATCAACCCAACTGGACTTGCTGTATTTTTCTTGATGTTTCAGTAGTCATCCCACCAACTTTCTCAATTCAGTTGCCTTGATTTATTTTTTACAGATGGTGGTCATAATGTTATGGCTGCAGTGTTTATCTATATACATTGTATATATATTATTTATTATAAATAGTGTTGGCCTGGAGATAAAGTCCAATATGTTCCCCTGCACCCCTCACAGCGTCTCCGGCCCGAATCACAATAATGGTGCTTGCAATGATACTCACGGATGGCGCCGTTCACATCAAACAGGAAATTAACAGAATTCACCAGCACTCAGTGGAAAATATTCAAATTATAAAGTCCATGTCAGTCACGAAGGGGTTAATCGGACAAATCATCATACATGTTGCAATAATTATAACCGGCGTTTTGGGGCCACGCAGGGACCCTTCATCAGGGCAATAATGTAAAGGCCTGGAGATAAACGTTTCAATATCTGAGACTTTTTTAAAATTCATTCTGCCCAGTTTCTCCGTACAAAGATCACACAGACTCTTCCCTGTCCCTGGTTTTAATCCTGTTGTCAATCCCACTTGGACTTATGAACTCTGCGAGTGAAAGAATGCTTTCATTATTCAAATTACCTTGGGTGGAAAAGCCCAGCTCTGTGGAACTTCTGAACTAGCGAAGTGTTAACTTTCTGTGGGCCATAAATCTGTTTTTGTCCTCTTGAAATTTTACCAGCCACTGCCCTTCCTGTTTTGAAGAATCTGAATATTTCAGTAGGTATGTAAAGTTAAAGCTGATTCTGCTACAAGTAGCTACATGATAAAGACTTTCGTTAATATTTGATCCATCCAAAAGTCATTTGGTAATTTTGGAGTCCGTTTGCACTTTTTTCTTTTTTTTTTTTTGTATTGCTGATTTTGAAGTCTGCCCCTGTTTTGTAAATATGGATTGTTTTTGTTAGATAATGTAATGTTGGAGTAAAACTTCACATAGAAGATTTGTAATTCAGGAGCAGTATTTCCCATAGGAAGTATAGTATTGCTCTTGTGGCCATTGCCTTTGCTATACCCAAGTAAGGGGGTGGCTTTATGTCAATTGTATTAGTTTCCAAATGTCAGTTGATACACTAATTGTGTCCTGTGATTTAGCTATTCTGGGATATGAGAATTTGGCTCCTGAATTTTGGTGTGGTCCAAGTTTAAGATTAGTTCCCTTTTTTCTTCCTCGGACACTTCCTGCCTTTACCTTCAAAGCCCTACACCCACACTAATTGGATTGGTAGGATTGTCATATAGTAATACACTAGCTGGGTTAGGTACCAAGAGCTAATGTGGGCGCTTGCTCCTTTTTTAAATGATAAAATTACATCTATTAACAGTCCTTACTTGTATATCTACGTTGTGTATGCCCTATCCTAATTACAGTAAGACAGTGTTTCTATATCTTTTATATCGTGTACACCGGCTCATAAAAATGAGTTGTGCCACCTCATCACTGATTTTAATACTGGACAATTTTGCTTGAAACCTTACCTATAAGCTTGCCAGGGTTGCTTGGAGTAGTTCTAAAGTTCCAGGATATATTATCATGTTATAACCTCAACATTGTAACAGGAATACATACTATAGTTGTTTTTTAAGATGCAATCATAGTGAGTGCTGGCTTCAGTATGCCCATCACTTTCATCAACTTCTCAGTGTGCTTTGTATCTCTTTCCCTGCTGCTTGATGTGATACAATCTCGGTTTCTCAAGACTATATATCCAGGGTGGATTTGATTTAAATCAAGTCGATTTAAATCACTTGTAAAATGGCTTGATTTGTATCAACTCGATTTAAATCATAATTTTTAAAGAGCAACTGTCCTCTCTGTCCCGCAGCCGCTCCTCCTCTGACCCGCTGTTGACTCACCGACAGTCCCATTCACTTTAATGGGACGGCTGGTGATGCGGCAGTGACACAACAAGGTGAGGGACGTGGCAGACAGCAGGTGAGTGGTTGCCCGCTAAGTGCTCTTTAAATGTAAGGACTCATTCTTGCTGGTAGTAAAATATAATCTTAAATATTATTATTTTAGAATAATAAGCTGTCAGGTTAGTAAAACGGCGATATCAGAACCGATTTTAGGTTAATAGGTTAATCACACATAGTTGGAGAACTACTCAAATTCTTTTATATAATTAAAACAATAACATTATCTTGCATATTCTTGTATTTTCTTAAACATCAATGTTTAGTAATGCATCAATGCAGTGCATGTTATCTCAGCTTGCAGAGCTTGGATTCATTGAATGAGTTTACCAAAAATGTAAATATTGCAGAATATACAGCCTCATGCTACATAACTAAGCTCCATTTCATGTTGAATAAACTAAATTATTAATGCATCTTAAATATAAAACAATCTTTAGATAGATTTTTACTCCAAAAGCATAGGAAATGAATGTTCAGAGATCTTGTTACTATCACTGTAATTGTAGTAGTGATGACGCTTGCTGGGTAGCTCTAGCACCGGAGTGCCGGTCAGTGCCTGAAACTGCATCCCAGAATGTGAATATGTATTCAATAAGTGTTTGGACAACATTTGTTCATCGATCCCAAGATATGGATTTCTTGTGTGCTACTTCACACTGATTTCCATCATTTTCCTCCTTTTTGCTTTGCTGCCATCTTCTGGACTATTGCCTGATGACACTGTATTAGTTCCATGCATTATAGAAGAATAGACACACTGATTGTGTATAAACACCCTAAAAAAACTGTGTTCTTAGAACAGTAGGGTGTTAATATGTGTATTGATGACATTTAATATATGTATTCCTTTTTTAAAAGCTCACACATATATTTTTCTTGCTAACAAAGTGAATGGGATTGGCACAAACATTATCATTGCCAGGAATGCCTGAGCAGTTGTAGAAACACAAAAAGGATCAAGCTTTGAAAACTATTTGAATTTTTTAAAATGTCACACTAAAAGATGCCCGCCATTTGCATTGTGGCCAGCAAAGCTTCTTGTATGCGCCTTTCTGAACCCATTTTCATTTTATTAGTTGCCTGACTTTAGAAGCAAGGCTGGTCATACACTGATCTATTTTTTTTCAACCTGCTGGCTGAACGAAAAAAGAAACCAGATTCTTCCATCAACACTAACAGCGTGCCGATCGAGGAATCCCGATGTTTACATACAGCTGCTGCCAGTACATGTCGGCTATTGGCTGCCGGCTCTGATCGTTTGCACATTTTCCCGCAGGCTCCTTCAATCAGCTGATCAAGTGATGCTGATCAAAAGGGTGCCAACAGCACCAAGCATTGTGCGAATTTCGGCCGGTTCCGCAAAAACCTTAAGTCTGCCTGTTGCTTTTCTACTGCCCATTGAGAGTGCACTTGCTGAATACATCTGCTTTGCTAATACCTCGTAGGGGATAAAATCAAGCACCACATCCCAAAAAGCAGTATCGTATCCAAAAAAACCCGATGGTGGACCTTTTGAGGTACCTACACTAGTACTCCCTAAATTTATATAAAAATTTTAACTCTTTATTGCACATCCAAAATCTGATTAAAATCCTTAAATAAAAAAAACATACCAATCCTGAAGCTCAATGGTACTGGATTCCTTGTACTTTTAGTAAATCGCTCTAGGCTGTCTAATATTAGTTCAGTATTGTACAGTACAGTATTAAAATCATTTTATAGTAAACGTGCATCACATTAAGTGGATCGACCAGGCACAATTGGACAGAGTAGACTACGCATGCATTTGTTAAACACTGATGCGTTTTCATCCGACAGGGTGTGGATTGGTCCTGAAGTCAGGGAAGTTCAGGCTCAGGAACAGAAAGTGAATCCAGGACCACAGGGGCACTCAGAAGAAAAGTGCTAGCACTGACTCTCTCTCTGCTCTTACACAGATTTTGCTTTTACTTTAAAAAAAAAATTAATAATTTTGACCGATATATGATGAAGGTAAATGTCATGAGTGTTTTTTTTCGTTTTTCTTTTAGTAAGTGTAACTATTATTTGATTTAGAAAATTCGCCCCAGATCGGAGCAGAGGGAGAATGAGTTCATTATTTCTTGGCTGAGGTGTCTGTACGAGGAAAAACAGCAAGATCATGTTCACATGGTTGAGCCAGTGCAGGTAAGGTAATTTACATTGGGATAAATCAGCGATGAATAGTGTCTGTGTCTGTTTTCTTAGTTGTGATGGTACAAAGTGGAAATTTACATTTATTTACAACTGCAGTAATGGAATCAGTGATCAAAGCTCTTTGTTGACTGGGGTGTGTGACAATCCTCCTTCAGATTGTGGGGATAAGCCTAGTAAGAAGTATATTTGGGTCACCATAGGAGAAGGACCTAAACATCTAATTTTATTATAGTTACTATGAAGACGACCAGAATAAACCAGCACAAGCTTGAGCAGATTTTTATCTGAAGCGTGGAGACAGTCGGGCATTTGGGCTTGTTCACACCACGTCCAGGCCAGAACAGTTTGTTCCTAGACCAAAAAACATCCCAATGTGTCCCTATGGTATTTCTGGGCTCTGTTCACAACAGAGCAGTCCATTCTGGTCCAGACAAAAAAATACTGCTGGTCTCATTTTCTCTAGTCCGGAACGTATAGAAAAGCATACAAACGCACTGGACTGCACCTGGAAGCCTATTTTAAGCTTAAACCCCCCTCCCAGCACCGGAACATGTTAAACACACGTAAAAAATGCACTGCACTGTGTTGCAAAACTGGTCCGGACATGATGTGAACATAGCCTATGATTCAGCAAAACAGACTCATGCAGACCTATATGCAATAGGTAGTACTGGTGTACTTTGAGATATCCCTGTTCAATAGTCCATACTTTGGACTTCTAACGGCATTTAAAGGGCCACCCTTTAAATGTTTTATTTTGGATAGAGTAGGGAAGAGTTAAAAGTTCATCATTTTTATTTCTGTGACTTCATCACAGATATTTTCCCTTACTTCCTGTCTCTATGGAATGGTTAGTCTCTCTACCAAGTTTTATAGCTTTGTTTGTCAGGAAAAGCGTTTGGAATTATGTCAGGGAGATATACTTTTGGCGTATTCAAGAGAGATATAAGGATCTGGCCCTTTAACTGCTGTTTACAAGTCCACAGTATGGCCTAATAAATAGGAATATCTCAAAGTACAACAGTGCTTACTATAAACAGTGTTTACTTTGCTGCGCTCTCCGATGGATAATGGCTGTATGTAGCATTGCAATACCTGTTCCTGACATTATCATAGGGCTCTCCACACGAGTGAGATATTGTGGCTAGTAAAGGAGACTTCAAACACAGACACTATATGCACACAGCACCTACCTATTCTCGTGTGTGTATAGCCTTTGGCTGTAACAATGATGGAAAGGGGGTCACACTTATTAAAGCCCATTTTTTTTCCACTTTTGATAAGAGTATGTCAGTTAAATCTTTTTTCATCATTTTTAATTCTGATATTTATTTGTAGAGATTTGTCCTCACCTTCTGTCTCTGACACTTTAAAAGAAATGGGGGAGCTGTTGTCTTTGGAGCAGGAAGGCATGGTAACATTCACTACACTACTAAAAATGTATTGCCATTGTCCTAGAAGGAGGTGTGGTGCAATCTCCCAATGGGCTTCTGCTGCCATCTCTATCGTTATAGAGTTTCTAACCGATCACTGCTCTGTGCAGAACAGAAAGGCCTAGACAGAGTGACGCTTTAAAGAAGAACTCCAGACAGAAATTATCTTAACTCTTGCACTGGGGCTACCCCTGCACTGCAAGTGTTAAGTGCTCATTTTTGTCTAGGAATAAAAATAATAACAATATACTCGCCTGAACCTTGGAGAGCTGGCTGGCTGGCAGACCGGTCTCTGAAGCCTCGTCCCCCCCACACCACTTTGCTCAGGTGATCTTAAGGTCTTGTAAGTTATCATGTCCAATACATTGTATTGGCCGTGAGGAAGCTGAGGGGCATCGCTGGAGAGATGGACAGCAGGAACTGGTTGAGTAGCCAGCTGGCTCTACAGGCTCAGGTGAGTACTTGAGCACATGCACTAAACCCTTGGTGTGGGGGTAGCCTCACTGCACGGGATAAGATTATTTCTGCCCGGAATTCTTCTTTAATGAAAGTTAGTCAGCTGCGAAAACTTTAGCTCTTATTCTGTCTTTTGATTTGGCAAATGTTTAGTGAGAGAAATGTGGCGACTGCCATCACTGACCTCCTTCTGAAGAGTCTAGTTATCTGGCTGTCTTTGGCTTCAAGTATTTGAAACACTGACTAAGAACAAGCCTGAAACAATCAAATGAAAAGTGACATCAGATCTTTGGATCTGCATACTTTATCCGGGTCATTAACTCAAAGCACTGAAAACATTGGGATCAGTATATTAGGCATGGAAATACAAGAGGTTAGTAATGGCACCCTTTAGTGTGAAATTGTCATTACATTGAATGCACGTAGACTGATTCTATCCAACTGGACTGTGCTCAGGAGAACATAGGGTGTTGCTTTAAAAACAATCTTACTTTTTTTTTTTTCTTTTCATTTTTGCTGTGAATGCAGAACTCCCAGATTGCAGCCAATCCACTAACTGAGCTCCAGAGCAGCGCCCCACGCTTCAAATTGGAACTGCTGAAGAGCAAAGCAAAGAGATCACTGACAGAATCGCTAGATAGTATTCTATCAAGGGTAAATATCCAGTTCTCTTATTTCACCTTCTATACCACTGACAGGACCACTGCAATGTATTCTATCAAGGGTAAATATCCAGTTCTCTTATTTCACCTTCTATACCACTGACAGGACCACTACAATGTATTCCATCAAGGGTCCACTTAGCACATCCTGTTGGATCAGTAGGATCAGATTAGTAAAAAGTAGGGATACACAGATACTAATTCAGATACCAATGCCGATACATTTTCATGAGAACTACCAGGGTTGCAGCAGTTGCAGCTGGGACCTGGCTTAGGCACTCCACCACTGTCCTGAAATCATTAGTCTATATTGTTTTAGAAAAACTGTCGCATGACAATAACAAAAATGTATCAGTAAGTGGTATCTGTGAGCAGAGCTGTAGCTACCATGGGGCGAGTGAGGCACTTGCCTCAGGCGCAGCTGAGAGGGGGCTTGCCCCCTGGTGCCATTGGACAAGAGGGGTGCCAGGCGGCCATCACAGCCATGGCTTGGCAGGAAGAAGAGTAGCGGCACAGTCTCCAGCTTCTCCTCGGATCCCGCTACTCTCCCCTGCCTGTATGGGCAGAGGGCTATGTGTATAATCTTGTTATATTTCTTTCTGTTTAGACCCCTGATATTTCCCCCAAATCCCCCAACAGTAAAAAAAAAAACACACACACACACACACACACACACACACACACTTATTAGACATATGCAAAGACTCAAAATTAGTTTTGAACTAAATAAATGGAAACTAAAAATGTTTTCGTTAGTTTCGTCAAACAAAATACATTTTTATGCTATTTTGGATTTGGCCACCAGCGCCATCCTGGACGTCACATGACACTGTATGTGCGTGGCGTCGGGAGGCATAACCCGTCTGTTGGGGGGGACACATTTTTCTGTTCTTGCCTTGTGCGCGAAAGGAGCTAGCTACAGCTTTTTTATAACTTGTCTCTTTTGGAAACTTAATAAAAATAGTTTATGGAAAAAAAAATCAAGCACCTAGGCATGCAGACTGCAGATATGCACTATAATGCCAAAAGTATTGGGACACCTGCCTTTACACGCACATGAACTTTAATGGCATCAACGTTAAATATCCAGTTCTTTTATTTCATCCTTCTATACCACTGACAAGATCACTAAAAAGTATTCTATCAAGGGTCCACTTAGCATATCCTTCAGGTTTAGTAGAATCAGATTTGTGATCCTAGTCATTCAGAGCTTCTGTTGCAGGGCATAGTAAAATGCATTATAGATAATGTTACTAGTTGTAACTCATTTTATAATGTTTACATTTTTGCCTGTATAAGGGGAGCCACTGTAGAGTATGCCTAAGTTTTCAATTGGGTAGATATGATATGAAATAGACATGCATTTAAAAAAAAAAGAAAATGTAAATGCCCTAAGAGTAGACTTGAACAAAAGACAACCCTTCTGTTTCCCCCTGTTTTTTTTTATTTTTTTAGGGCCTGTGTATACAAGCCTTGCAATACGTATCATACATATTACCTTCAGATTATCTGTTTTGTTTTGTATAGCATGATCAATTGCTACAGAGGAAATACTCGGGACATATTTATTATTTATTTAGGGCCTCTATGTCAAACCAGTGAAGTTCAATAAAAAAAAAAAAAATGGCCATGGGAAAAAAACTAAGTAACTATACCAACCTTGCCATGGCTTCCCATCTTCAAAGGGCGACTTCCCTATCCTTCCAGCATAATACAAGGAAATCTGGGCCCCCCAAATTTTACTAAAGACACTCAATCACAGTGCAGGAGCATCCTCTTTTAAGATTTGAAAAAGCAGCCCCATACTTTATTATGCGTTTACTTTCTGAACTATTGTTTTCTCCATGCCATCAACCAGATTCAAGCCTTCCTGCTTGAGAAGTGACAGTTGGAATCTAAAAGTTTTGAATGTGATTGATTTGATTTTTGTTTTGTTTTTTGTTTTTTTTCTTGCATGAACAATAAGTTAAAATGAGTTGTATGTGTTTTTTTCTTAACTTCCTGTTGTCTAATTCAATGGATAGTGAATGTGACAAAAGTATATCAGAAACTGTATACATTATTCTTCTGATAATTCAGTGGCTGATTATATAGACTGTGTTCTAATTATAGAAGTTGGGTTTGTGTGCCAACCTCCTGTTCAAAGAGAGGCTTGGAATGTTTCTAGCAGTGTAGCATTCTGGCTTCTGTTCCCCTGAGCCATGCCAAAACTAAAATAAAAAGAGGAGAAAATCCTCTCTATAAATTCTTGCTATATTCATGGTTAGGTTTTCAGAACAATGAATTTCATTTTCTAAGAGGGTCGTTAACTAAGATCCATTTATGGAATACAAAAACTGATGCTTTTTGTGAGTGCTTTTTTTTTCTTTTTTTTTTAATGATTCTCAAGATTCTTTTTATATGCGTATTCTTTGTTTTCTTTGATTAAAACGCAATCTGTAATTTATTATTTAATTTGGTGTATACTTTGTTAATCTCTAGGGTAGTAGGAGCAGAAGTCAGCAGGACAGCTCTAGAAGTATGGACTATGAAAGCTCTCTGTGCAGTCCTCTGGAATACAGCAGTAAGGTGAATCCTGTGTTTTAATAGTTTTTTGACTATTTTGATATTTTTGATATATTTGTTTACTAAACACTGCTTGTCTTTTAGATGGCCAAATTATACTAATTTCATAATATTATAATAATAATAAGAATAGATAAGATTCTCCCTATGATTCATGGACTCCGTAGTTTTCTAAGTATCCACACTGTCAAAACAGTCTATGAATGAGAGGGTGTAGAACTTACTAGTGGTGGTGGGGTGGTGAACCTGTCGTATAGATAGGAAGATCACACCAAGCATATTTGACCTTAAAAACGTTGTCATTGATTGGTAGACTACAGATATAGGCAGCTAATGTTATATGCAAACCTTGACTTTTTCTGTAAAAGTCAATCCTCCACTTTTGAGCCTTTTTAATGTGATGAGCATAGTCTGGCTAAAGAGGATGTGGAAAAGCTGAACTTTAACCATCCTTATTATCCGGAATGTTGGTTGGTTAGAGAAAAAAAATACTGCTTTCTGTCTCCATAGTGTAATGGTACGGTTTGCTTGTTTTCCTCTGTAACTAGGAAGTCCATTAACTGCTAATAATATGGTTCTATATAACAATGAAAGTATTAAATATCCAGATAAATATACATATAACACCGTAATGTTATGCAAGTGGTAACAATGTGAAACACTCCAAAAAAAGTTGTCATAAGTCGCACTGTTAACCATGTGTCCAAATACTCTGATATTGTCCTTGTGATCTTCAGTACAAGTGAAAAACACACAGGTGCACCCAATTGTCATATGAAACCACCAAGGGTGTTGCTGGATATTCCTCCAATGTGAAATCTGTGCTCACACACAAAATACTCTCCTGCTCACTTTATAAACATGACCTTCACTAAAATATTTTAGAATGGTCTAACATGCTTCCCCTTCTCTCTAGGGTGGTAAAGTGTCTCTCCAAGGTAATGATGTGTCTCAGTTCATCCAAAAAGTGTAATATCTGGAAGGAAAAGGAATGGCATATAATATCATATTTAAACTTTTTTTTTAGATTTACATTAAAAACTTCTCACATGGTCCTTTATTGGACAATTATACAGATCCCACGCTCTAAGGGACAGCACACACTGGAGTAAAGCGCGATTCACACTCCCAGTTAGTGATTGTGTATATCAGGGCCGGACTGGGACTAAAAATAGGCCCGGGCATTTTAGACTGAGCAGCCCAATCACGTGACCACCGACAGGCCCCACCCCTCAACAGGGGGCGGGGCCAAACACAGAAGCGCAATTGAGGGGCAGGGCCGGCCACTAGTAAGTACTGGAGGGCTACAGCTGACACACAAGCCTTGCTACAACCAATACACAAAACTTGCAACAATGTAGGAAGCTTGCTATAGAGAATATCTGTAAAAAATAAGTCAAGGAAACTGGACTTGCTGTATTTTACTTGAAGACGTTTCACTGGCCATCCAACCAGCTTTCTCAATTCAGAAATTTCTGAATTGAGAAAGCTGGTTGGATGGCCAGTGAAACGTCTTCAAGAAATACATACATCAAAACATACATCAATAAGTCCAGTTGCCTTGACTTATTTTTTACAGATATACCTGGATGAATGGGAACCTTCACAGACATATTGCTATAGAGAATCGGATCTCACTGGCCCCCCAACCCCCGTGGCATTCTCTGCACCAAAGTAGCTAACACTCTTGTCCCCCACAGTCACACACTATTATTATACATTTATAAAGCGCTGACATATACCGCAGTGCTGTACAGAGAAGTCACATCAGTCTCTGTACAGAGGAGCTTACACTCTAATGCAGAATAATACCATCAGCTATAGAGGACTAAAAATCCCTGCAATACATTATACAGCAATGCAGAATAATAGTATATGAATTTGGTACATACTTTGTGCTGCCGCTCTGCTCCGGGGTACCAGCCTGAAGTCTCGGGCAAAGGGTCTCAGGAGGGAAAGATAGGCAGCCGATGGAAGCCCTGTAAGAAGGCACCGTGTGGTTCCCCAGAAGGCTGCTGCATGGGACCTATTACAGCCGAATCAACGCAGAAGTCAGTGGTGTAATACAGAGTACAGAAGTCAGAGGTGCAACGCAGAGTGCAGAGATCAGCGGTGTGATGCAGAGTACAGCGTTGTGACGCGCAGTGCTGAGGTCAGCGGTGTGACGCAGAGGTCAGCCGTGTGACTTACAGTGCAGAGGTCAGCCGTGTGACTTACAGTGCAGAGGTCAGCCGTGTGACTTACAGTGCAGAGGACAGCGGTGTGATCTACAGTGAAGAGGTCAGCGGTGTGATCTACAGTGAAGAGGTCAGCGGTGTGATCTACAGTGAAGAGGTCAGCGGTGTGATCTACAGTGAAGAGGTCAGCGGTGTGATCTACAGTGAAGAGGTCAGCGGTGTGATCTACAGTGAAGAGATCAGCGGTGTGATCTACAGTGAAGAGGTCAGCTGTGTGATCTACAGTGAAGAGGTCAGCGGTGTGATCTACAGTGAAGAGGTCAGCGGTGTGATCTACAATGCAGTGGTCAAGGTGTGATGCAGAGGACAGCGATGTGACTTACAGTGCAGAGGCCAGCGGTGGGGGGGGGGGTCTAGTCTCGGGTGAAGCCTCCAGTCGAGCATGATGCCCAGCTGCCTCCTTGTGCCCTCACTTCAGGACCCGCTCTTTCTCTGCCAATGGTAGCCCT